GAAAAGATGCTTCTGTAATGTATTGTATGCTATTTTACAATTAGTCCACACATTATGGCAATATGTTCACAATGCAAAAAAAGCAAAAAAAACAAACACCATTATTTATAATCTTACAAGCTTGCAGTAGGTACACATTTTATACACGCATTCGCACATATTAGAAAACAAACTGGTAAACTTCACGAAAACATTTTAAATATCCTCATATAATTATTTAAGATTTACTATTAGATATAATTATTACAATAATACAATTAAAGTTTTAATTCTCTTTACTGAGTGTATAAGAAAATTTAAGGAAAAAATGTTGCATTTGAATGAGGAAAAAATCTGTGTAGTATTAATTATGTCGTACTATTTATCAGTGACACACATAATTATGAGAAATCTTAAATACATAAAATACATGAAAAATATTTCAAAAGTCAATGGGTGTGGATCGTGATGTTCTAAAAAGATTGGGTTTACTTTATACGCAGAAAGTTAAGCAGAGTTACAGTGACAGTATTATACTAAAGTTGTGTCGTCACAACGCTAGGTTGCGCTCTCTGTTGTCAACAGACATTTGTTACCCTTCATTACGCCTGAATGACTTCATAGGCTTTCCGGTAATAGGCATTTCAAAATCTAATATTTTACCATCAAAATGTACTAAAAACACAAAAGCTCGCATTATATTAGTTATCGAACACGCATTTCATCATCAATTGAAATTTACAAAGAAAAAATTAAGATACATCTTAATATTTACGTTACAAAATGGAATCAATGGTTTGTCCGTGGAGAAAATGGCGTCCGGCTGAACACATTTTGCAACGATAGCAACAGAGTAGTATCACATAGTATTGTGACGTAACACTGTAGTTCTCTATAGAATAATTATCTAAATCTAGATTCATTACCATGATGGTAAAACATCCCCTCATCAATTAAAACAACTTTCCTGATTCATTTTAACTGCTAGACCAATTTATCCAGTGAACTTGAATCTATATGGTAAGGAAACTTGGTAGTTCTAAATAACCTCACCCTAACAATTAAGGAACTTTTTTATCTAACTTTTTTACTTTAAGTAACTTTTCTCAAAATTTCTAATTCTCAATTCCGTATCTTATGATTGAAAAAAAAATGATAATTGTAAAATCCAGTAAATAAATCTCCATTTAAATTTATAAAACAAATTATTTACAATACAAAAAAAATCTATCAAATACATCTCAAAAAACCATTAATCTGTCATTTTCGCAACCAAGTGTGAGTGAATGTTAGCCCACACCTCAATCCAGTATATTAATGCTTATAAGCATAAAAATCCCTCTTTTTCATAATTTTTCTTAATTTGCCATTATTTTTTATTTATTTATTTATTTTTTGTATATTTAATTAAAGATGTATTGTCCCTTGCTAAAATAAAAAAATCATAAAAAATAATTTTTTAATAAACTTGCTCATATTGCAATAGCATACAAGTTAATAACTTGTGCATAAAAATTATTGAATTTTAAAAATGTGTACCCTGATTTTTAAACCAAAAAATTATAATAAAAATGATAAAACACTTCCAGTCACTGGAAGGGTTTCTATAATTTTTCACTGTAAACTAATAGGTAGACTTTTTTTTAATACACTAATTTTTATGTTCAAGTTGATAACTTTTATGTTACTTCAAAATGGGCAAGTTCATTTCAAAAAATATTTTTATGATTTTTTTGGTATTTAGTATGGGACAATACATCTTTAATAGATTTAGCTACGTTATTGTATAGAAGACATTTTTATTACTGAAAAGCTAGAAAAAAACAGAGTACCTACCCAGGGCATTTCAATCTTTAATAGAGGTTTTATAAACTTAATGCTAGATGGAATTGCATCCTGGTCATAACGTCATCTGCTGATGACATCGTATGCTCCTTCCAGTTGTAGGTTGTGCGGGGCCCAGCCAGGAGAGGATGTTATTAAATCATTGTATAGGTTAGAAAGTTCATGCGCACCTGGATCCTTGTTCCTTGTTCATGGTTTTATCTTTGTTTCTTCTTACGTATAATGACTCCATGATCTGTCTCTCTTTGTATTATTGATGATGATGTTGCTCTGAAAGCCCTTGTCATTACTCCCCGTCTTTGTTTTAACATCTTTTATGATTATTGATGAGGGTTTGTAATGCCCTCCCTGTGTCCCTGAAGTAAACTTGTAAACAGTATTAATATGTGGCTTTGTAGACTACACCACATGTATCCATCTTTTCAATCTTGTCTTTAGGGTGTACGAGGCTGTGGTTGAAGTTGTGCATAACTTTCTAACCTAAATCAAAACATCCTGAGTTATTAAGTACTCTGTTTCTTACTAGATATTACAAAAAAAAAATTGTCTTCTAGATGACCTGAAGTTAGCAATATTGATAAGCGGCCACAAAGTATAAATAATATTTTTAATGTCTAGTATTTCTTTGTATAAGCTTTGAAATACTCGCACGTGTGCTGAAACACAGCATGAACCACTTCACAGTCTGTCAACAGTGCAAGCCTGGGTTTCTATGCATGACCGGCTGAGAATGGTCAGCATTTGTTTTAACTCCTGACCATGAGGTTCGGAGCCTGCATGAAATACACTCTACCTATTTCAGAAATTCACTTGCCTTTCTTCTGCATAACTTCATCAAGAGAAATCAACTGCATTAAAATGCAATAATCATTTTTATTTTTACCCTCTGTAATGTTAATATCCTCATACACACAGGCTAATCCTCTGTCATCTTTTCCTTTGTAGTAGGCTAGATCACTACATGCAGCAAAATTTCTTCCAATTAAGGGAGGACATGGATCTGTCCATTTTTCACCACCGTCTTCGCTCAATCGAATAGAAAGTTTTTCAAAACCTGATTCATGTGCTGGATTTGTAAAGGCTATCAAGTTTAATCCTTTTTTCGTTTCTGATGGAATGCTTATAATGCCAGCCTACAAAAAATATTTAACAATCAAAAAGCAAACACATCATGATTGTGGTCACTGGGTTCGTGACCACCTTTGCCACCACCACCACCATCATCATCTACATGACTGATATCACAAATATTTGCATCCTGTTTCAAATCTTCTTTCCTTTCTTATGCACTTCAACTTTATTAAAAAGTTATTAAACATGCCCTCTTTAGCCTCAGCCCAAGTACCCCTCGCTCTGCAACATATACTTATATTTATTTGTCGCTGTGTGGCACTTTTATTTCTATGTACTGTACATAATTAGTATAATACTGTATATATGTCATGTAATTTGATATGGATATTACCCACAATGGCCATTGCAGCAAAATATAATCTTGAACCTTGAATCATCACCACTCACTACCATAAAACATTACCATCAACAACATCATTATCACTACCCTCAACATCAATATCATCTTCATTATCAATATTTATAATATATTTCGTTTTTGTTGATCACAATAAACAGTCGTAATTTTTTTTACATACTATGTTTCGTGAATAATACATTTATTGTTCTTGTTTTCTTGATGTCCATTCCAGTTTGGTCTGAAGTCACCACAGTGTTGTAAAGGTTAAAGTGCGCCTGCTCCACCTACTGGTTACTTGTTCTGTGCTTTGGTTAGGCATTGATCACGGCTGCTTGTAGGTTGTGAGGTGCCTAAATATGTGGGGTGCAGCGCTTCGTATCTGCAAAGAAAGGCACTTTACAAATGTTCTCATTGGATTGGGTTGGTTGTCTCGGGGGACCGCCTATTTTTAGTCTCATCTTGTGTTATTTCTTCATATAAATGTGAAAGTTCATGATAGTGCAGGCAGGTGCACTTCAACCTTTACAACACAGAGGTGACATCAGACCAAACTGGAACTAACACCACCAGTCTACCTGAAGAATTAAATGGAGCATTCAGGAAACAAAGTATGTAAGTAGAATTACAATGCTTTATTTTGATCAACAACAAAAAAATATTTTATAAATATGTCATTTGGATCTAGATGAATTTATTTAAAACTAGAAATTGCAAATTGCAAGTGAAGTGCTGCGAAGTACAACTGCATAAAATGTTCTTCGAACAAAATTATTTATGGGAGTCAAGTGAAAATAATGAATAATAAAAATATAACAAATAATATGAGACACAACCCATTGTCTATATTAGAACACTTCTCATTGGGTAACAAAGTCGTAATTTTTCATTTTTGTCAAAAAGTGTCTATAGTGGTGAATTATGGTTTAAGTTTCAAAAATTTCTATGTATGTGGAAAATGTAGTTGATTACCAAAGGTTACAATTTTTATTTTGAAAACTGCATGGTCTAGGAATTTTGAATTGCTATAACTTTTCATTTTCTTGGTCAATTTTCACAAATCAAATTGCAGTTTATAGAAGCATTTAACAAGCTCGCGGTAAAAAAAAATCAGATGTAACAGACATTGCGAAGTACCCAAAATTAATAAAACAAAAACTAGCACCATAAAACGAATGGCACGCATAGACTAATAATTGACGGCTGTACTCGCAACTAGTATCGGATTGTCAATGCCACAGTAAAGATCAAAGGACTGTACGCACGCGTTATGTTCGAGAGCGGAGGTGTGCGTCCTTCTGTTGAATTACCTTGATAATACATGGATAAATATTTGATAAATAAAATATAACAAATGAAGAATCACACCAAGGAAAAATTGCTCAGCCAATACCAGTATTAGAACATTTATTGAGAGCAACAAAACTTGTAATAATATTACATGTAGGCTTAGTTAAGTAATTTGTTCAGATATGCTGTTGTTAGTATATTACAATAAGTGGCATAATTATTTGAGAATTACATTCACATGTGTTTTTATCCAATAGAGAATATAGTATTAGTGATAAAAGTGGGAAAAAAACCACTTACTTGTGCATGGCTTCCAAAAGAAGCATTATCTGGACTGCAGGATATAGGTACTACTTCCCAGGTGTCACCTCCACTGGCACTTGTTATCACACAAAGCTGAACCTCTGCATAGATTGTAAAAGTATTTTTTAAATATTCAAAGGGAACTATTATAAAGAAAGCATTGTTTATTATGCCAATAATGCAATATTTAATGTTGATGGGTCTGAAATTACCAGGAATAAAGAATCATTCACACACAAATCACAAAAGAAACACAACACCAAAAAATAAATAAAAAACTTACAGCTAAGTTAAATAAGTCACATTATTATCAACTTAAGTCAATGGGCAACAAGAAGAAAAGATATAAAATGTAGTCATACGCTCACTAAACTCGATGAAACCAGCAACAACTAATTGTCCCGACTGCAAGCACAGACCATGCCCTGGACCTTAACAAAAATTAACAAATTATTTAAGTAAGGAATGATTACACAAACATATTTTATTAATATTTGATTTTTGCAATAATTTTTCTTCTTTTGAGGAATTTCAATTATCTACACACCAATAAAATTGAGCTGTGCACTTTCCTGCATATCTTTAGGCCATTCCAAAAGGACATCGATTGGATCACTCAAAGGTTTTCCATTAGAAATCTTCAGTTGAATTAGCTTACCACCACCCTGCTGAGCTGTGCATTCAACACATAATAAAATAATTTCACCTTTTTCTCTATCCACAACGATTGGCACCAAGTTCTGAAACCTAATTACATCATTTTAATAAAAATTATTCAAAAGTGCAATAGGAAATCATTTGGGTTAACAATTACAACTTTAATTAAGTGCAATGTTTGAAATAATAGTTGTAAATATTTTTAAGTTCGTTAGGGTAGAGCAAACTCAGTGATAAATGGGACAAACAATTGCTCATAATGATTTTCAAATGTTTAAATGGTCATGCTCCATCATATTTATCGAAAAAAAAAATTTTAATTATGATTTGCATATGCATTGTACTACTCGCAGTCAAAGTAAAAATACACTAATTGAATACACCTGGAATAATATGCAAGGTAAAAGAACTTTTGTATACCGATCTACTAAATTATGGATCATACTAAAACCAACTTTAAATCTATGACACTTTCAAATTTTAAGCTTTCTATTTCAAATCCTCAATAATACCATCTTAATTAATAACCTGATTTTCTCTTACTTTGCATATTCATATTTATTATTTAAATTTATAATTTTTCTTAAGTTTTCTTTCTAATATGTTCATTTTAAATCTATTTTCATTTGTAGTTAAGTTATCCATCTTTTTTTGGTTACCATATGTATATACAGGTATCTGCTTTTAAAATTTTGTAGTTAAGAACTGAACCACTTTGGAAACCAGTACTATGTATTGAAAAGTGTATATTCAGTATAAAGAAAAAAAAATAAAATAAATTAATTAATAAACAGTAAAATGAAAAACAGCACTTTGAAGATTAACAAATATTTTATTAGCACAAGCACGCAATGAACTTTTTTAGGTGACCGTACAAATGAAACAATATCAATTTCTTATAAGCATGGTTCATGAAGAAGTTAAACTGCCTATCTAAATCTTGAAATATGATACAATTTTCCCTAATTGCGTTTGATGGCAAGTTAGAGCCAGATACAGCAGCCAGCCAGCTTCAAGGAAGTCAACATCACTAAACAAGAATTAAGGGAAAACCAGACTGAAAAATCCACGTGGTGGAAAGGCTTGTTTAATAAAACTTCTATTTTTTGAGCCCCTTAGAACCAAAGGGTATTCGTAAAAAACTATCAAATTTGTAAACTACTGTAGATCAGTTTCCACTAGCTATACTCTGCCATTGATATATCAGACTAATGGCGACTAGGTCAATTATAGTACCCTAGTAGTAGTACGAAACAAACCGGCAGTGCAGCAGCAGCGTGGTCTACCGCAATAGTAGTAGACTAGACCCTAGCTAAATTTACCTTCAATAAAAACCAAATTATTTTATTCGCTAGCATTCTCCCATTTAACAAAATATTGTTTTAATTCTTATTAAAACATCTGTATACTTTATGGACCTTTATGTCATGTTTTTTGTAGTATTTAGATCAAATTCTGAATTGTGTTGTTTATATGCACTTCGCAAAAATCTAGCGCCACGGTGTCAAATAAGTTGCTGACTTCAACACACTTTTTTATTTCGTCATCGTAAACATGTGCGCTCATTTAAACAACTGGCAATGGATATTTTACGAAGTTTGGTGAATTTTATAAGTTATTTTATAGGCATCAAGCTACTGTAATATGATTTCATATTTGTTGTAATTTCCAGTGGCGGATACAGGAATTCGAAATAGAACCTCTAGATGGCCGGAAATTGCACTTCCAGACATAAAATTTGAATATAATTATCTTTATATCTCCATTTTTTTATTGAACAATTTAGGAGGGTGAGCGAGCAGGCCGTCTGGGTCTCCTTGAATCCGCCACTGGGTACTTCAGCAGATGGAGAATCTATACCACCTCAGCCCCACCATGGTTGGGGCTGAGGCAAGAAGATTTGTGATTATGGCACCTCTAGATGGCTGGAAATTACACTCTTAAAATTTGAATATAATTTTCCTTATAATCTCCATTAAAAAAATATTGAACAATTTAGCCTCCCCCTCCCCTTGAACGCGCCACAGATTTCCGAACAAAGTCGAAGTCGAGATTGCTTCCACGACCTCAATGAATTTTTTATTATGAGGGTTATCCTTGATCTGGGTTCCCCGACGAAAACTTCACTTTTCCCCCGATAAATAAAAATTACCTTTCTATAAGCTAAGCTCGGAAATGATACTCCAACTGTGGCGGGTCCACGAAGTCGAAATAGAGGGGTTCCAGGGAGAGTCTTGCGTAAATAGAATGTCCACCCGCCTCAGCCCCACAGCTGTTGTTAATATGATTATGGCACCTCTAGATGGCCGGAAATGGCACTCTCAGATTAAAAGTTGAATACATTTTTTTTTTACTCAATACAGTTTTACAACCTATAACACATTAACTACAGTGTAATGTAAATTCTGTAGTTAACCTTCAGACAACTTTATTTTTTAAAAATGGCCTAATAATTAAGTATCTTATTGTTTTCGTTAAATTAGAGTTTAAATGTGGTAAGATTACGCTGGTTTGAAAGTTTACTGTAAGTCAATCAGTTACACTTACTATACATCTTCGTGGTTAGCATAAACAGAACTAGAACGTCGCTCCATTAAGAGTGTCTACCTCCCCCCCCCCTATATGCCTAAATACAGAATTCACGAATGCAGGCGAAATTTTCTTCATGCTCGAGGGTAGGTTTCAAGGCAACTTTACAGACGCACGTATACAGACGTTAATCAACATTTGGTTGCTCAACTCAAAAAGAGAACTTGTAATGGTCGTTAGAAAATGAAAAAAAAAGCTATATTTTATAATAATAATAATAATAATAATAATAATAATAATAATAATGACGACATTGCAGCGTTCATAAAATGTTTGTCACTAGTGCTGGGAACAGTCACAAAAGTGGGGGGGGGGGAGCAGGCCCCCCCCCCAGTATAAAAAGTGAGTGGGCCAATGGCCCCCTGGGCCATTACCACCCGTAATGAAACTATTATACAAACACTATGGCAATCAGTAATCAATTGTGAACACAATACTAACAATCACTTTAAACAATCATTGAATTTGAATGAGTATTCAATAGCAATCATAATATTAAATGCACTAAGTTTAACCAGAACCAATTCAATATACCTGAATCAAATCATGAAGAACTTCTTGAACAAAATGCTTATTTTCCTTACAACACGGAATGGAAATAAGCTGAATTGGGATAAGCACATTATATATTAGTACTGTGCTTTAACGTTGTTCATTACATACATGGAAACAATCGTCCAAGAACCATTATTGTGATATAATTAACGATATATTATAACTAGCAAAATACTGTTATTAAATTTATTCCTATTAACTAGCAATATGTTATCAATTTTATTACCTATTGACTAACAAGAACAGATAATCGTCATAATATTGCAAGTTTAGGCAAAGTATCAAATACTCTAGTGTACTTACACATGTGAGCAACCATTAAAGTACATATTTAAAAACTAAAACAAAACATGTTTCCTCCAAGAAAATCAAATATCTTCAAACGCAGCAGCCGAAGAAAATGTATTATAAACAGCAAGCCACCTGCTATGCAAATTGCATAACACTAACACGCGAATCCAGATGCAACGATCTATGCAGAAGTGTGCAGCGATCCATACAAAAGCAAAACAATAGGGAACGTGGCAAAAGCATTATTCCAGTCCACGACACTAATAAAATATTTGTTTATAAATCTTCAAAATGCTGCTTGTCATTTTACTGTTGATTACTATATTTCAGACTAACACTATTTCATGTTTGAAATAAGAATGTGTAATCTCTTTCTTTTATATCAGTTTTTTTCATGTATTAAATCTTTTACAATTTAATAAACTTAGGAATTATTATTGTTAATTTGTTTTATTGTTAAATTTTTTTAAGGACCCCCAATGGTAATAAGTTTTTTATATTTTCAAACTGGGTTACCCTGGGAATTAATGTCTTTTCTATTGTTCTTAATTATTTATCTGTTCTTTGATTTTGTTCTGTATTCACGAAATATGTGATTATAATTCCTGAATAAAATGAAATGTTCCAACAATCAATATACTGTACATTTATTTGTATAAAGCAATTATTTCATAAATATTTCATTAAAAAAAAAACTTTATGCACCAAAACCTACATTAATTCTAAAAAAAAGTTAAACAATGAGATACCTTGTATCAGCCTTGGCTAATATGGTTTGTTGATTTTCCCATTTAATTCTATTGTGTTCCATCAGTTTTCCTCTACGTGACAATCCTCTTGAATGTTTGTCATCAACTTGCTCTTCACAAAAAACAATGAAATGCTTGTTGGCCAAGAAAACTATAGCAGGATGTCTATGTGAGGAACGATACAAAACTGTGGTAAATAATTTAAAGAAAAGAAGTAAACACAAATAATAGACAAGTTTTATATATTATGTAACAAATTCTAAAGTTCACAAACCTGTAAACACAATGATCTTCACCTTCTACACCTGAACCAAACACGTCCACTAAAAAATGACAATAGAAAATTTAAGATACAGAAGGTTAAATGTAACAAACACCTGCAATATGTAGAAACAATCACACATATTTTTGAAATATTGTATTTTTTTCACTTTCAACGCTTTCTGTTTTGCTTAAGTAAACAAAATATCATGAAACTCACAAGGCACAACAAGAGTTGTGGATGCCTGATGCTCTGTGTTGGGAGTGAATTTTTTCTTTGAAACTACCTCACAGGTATAAACACCAGCATCAGCCACTGTCACTTGATTTATTTTCAACTGGCAACAGAGTTGATAAAGACGAGCTTCATATTTCATCCTTTCCGTTTTCTCCAAGTTTTCAGAGTCAAAGATCACTTTCTTTCCTTTAGCTGTTTCTTTAGACCATTTTTGTATATCCACTTTACCTTTGAGATTATAGGCACAGGTTAAGGTTGCACTGTCTTCTCCATCAAATGCCAAAACATTTGGTATGTCAATGGCTAAAGAAAGAAGGAAAATAACAGTATGTTTTACATACATGACAAAATAATATATGGTGTGGTTTAGCAGGGGTCTTATGTCTCCTACATGTCGCAGGAGTGGGTAGTATAATACTTTACTCCAAGTATCGAAATAAACACCATTGTGTCGGTATTCAATATTTCGACATTAATTATGTCATCTACTCTAACAGATATATCTGATCACATACTTAATAATTTTAATGATGGTAAAGCAACAGCTGCCATATTTCTGGATCTTAAAAAAGCATTTGATACAGTTGATCATGAACTACTCATTACCAAACTTAAATCATATGGTGTTAACAATGAAGAATTGAACTGGTTTATTTCTTACTTAAGTAACAGGTCTCAAGTTGTAAATATAAATTCAACACAATCTGATGCCTTGTAAAGGCATGAAGCGCTATATAAGAACGACATATTATTATAAACAATATTTCATCCAATGTTTCAAAGCGTATTGGTGTCATCCGACGTACTAAATCTTTTCTTCCTTCTTATACGCTTAAAATGTTAGCAAATGCTTTAATTTTTCGTCTTTTCGATTATTGTTGTTGTGTTTGGTCTAATTGTAATGTTCAAAATTCTAACTGTTTACAAGTTCTTATGAATAGATTAGGTAGAATTTTACTTTCTGTTGATATAAAGACTCCTGTTGATTATATTTTAAGTGCCCTTGGATGGAATAGACTTAATGTGATTTGGAATGAAAAATTACTTCTTATGACTTTCAAATGCTTAAAAGGATATGCCCCTCAATATTTGTCTTTAAAATTTACCTTTAACAATACTACCCCTTCTAAAAACACACATAGCCAAACCCATAACAACCTGGTCCTTCCAATGTATAATATTGGACAGGGAAAAAGAACTTTTTTATATCGATCATCCAAAAGTTGGAATGAACTACCACACAAATTAAAAATTAATTTTAAAGATGTCGACTTTTTCATTCCAAAATCATTTAAAATAATTTTCAAATTTTATTTTATTTTATTCTTTGTCTTTATTTCTACCGTATATGTTTCTTGACACTGTACCACTTTGAAAATCAGTACTTTAGTACTGAAAGTGCCTACAGTATAAAGAAAGATTAAATAAATAAATAAATAAATAAATAAATAAATCATCAGTACCAAAAGTGTTTGACCAATCAAAACATTACCAATAGTAGGTGACATAGCTATGAATAAACTAAAGATCAAAGCATCCTTACCCTACTGATCAAAGCTACCTACAAAAACAAAGAAAGCTCCTTTGAAGCTTTGAGCCCATTGTTAAGCAATGGGTGTAGCCTACGTATAGCAAATGCTTCTTTAAACAATAGTATAGACTATAGACCAATAGTATAGACCAATTTAGCAGGAATCTTCCAGAAATCGGGAAGCGCCTTCTGCTTTTCTGTGAGCAAGCAACAATCTCTGAGAAATAACCCATTTCCTTTAAATTCACTATATTTATTATGATTTTTAGAAGAGAATAATAAAAATACATAAAAAAACTATGTGAATGTGTATGTGAATGTTTATGAAGACTAATTGAATCCCGACATGATGGCGTGCATTTCGATACTTGGAGTATGTATTATACTATCTTAACTAATTTTACAATACAAAATAACAAGATCATACAGTACAATTCATTTTTCTCAATTCACAGACAAAAAAAAATCAATTACGAGCCAAAGCCATGGAACAATATAAAAATGGTGTTATTTACAAATCTCTTGCTCTGGTAAAATCTGAAAAAATTCCATAAAGCAATTAAAAAAACTTCCAAGGAGAAACACAATTCAGTTTTCCCAATTTACAGACAAAAAATCAATTACTAGCTAAAACCATATATGGAGAGAATATAAAACTTTTAATCTGTTAATTGGCAAGGATTTGTTTTTCATTATAATTTCAAATAAAAGCTTATAAACTTACTTAAAATGTAAGAAACAATTCGAATTTTAGGTTATTCTTATAGTTTCAAAAACCAGTAAATTAAAAATTATAATAAATCTTTTTAAATAAGTGAACAAATCTATAAAATTTGATTCTTTGACATTTAAAAAAAAAAATTGTATTCATTAAGAAAGAGGATTTTCTTGTTATAGTAAACAAAGCATCGTAATAGTAATGGTGTGCAAAAATGGACTAAAAGGGGGGGGGGGGGGTGTTACAGAGCGGGGGTATCTCTTATACACATCTAGATGTGTATAAGAGACAGGTTCCTATCTTAATGCATTGGCAAAACCTCCTAAATGACAGTGTGTAGAGAAATCACCCTATGTTACTCATGGACCAACTCTTTTTCTACATCACAAAAAATCAATATCAGGTTGGCAAGACAAATTACCCCCACCACCTTCCCACATTCCTATCTTAATGCACTGGCAAACCTTCCTAAATATGACAGTGTAGAGAAAATTCACCGCATGTAGCACATGGACCAACATGTATCACATGTGAGTAAAATCACATTCAAAATTTAGTCTGAGAATGCCATTTCCAGCCACCTAGAGGTGCCACAATCATAATGTTCTACCTCAGCCCCAATCATGGTGGGGTTGAGCTGGTATAGACCCTATATAAGCCCCCTTCCTGCTCCCCCTTTTGCAAATTCTCAGATTTGTCACTGGAGGTGTCACAACGGGAGCAAAGTGGGCGTAGTCGGGAATTGATCAAAATATATCGGAAGTGGTCAAGGGGGCGATGCCCTAAAGTTTGAGAATTTATCAAATTATGTAGAAAATACAGTACATATAATTTACTTTTTTCCGATGAATTTTCAATTCAAGGATTTTATTCAACTAAAAAAATACTACATTGTAGCCAATGGCTAAAAAATATTTCACAATAAAAAAGGCACCAAAAACTACTGAATTACAAAAAATTGTGGCTTTTCTCCCCGACTGGATAAGTGGGGGAGGGGAGCAGCTCTTCCTGACAGGGGCCCACCCCTGCTCCCAGAATTGACTTCTTCCAACTTAAGACCTCTAAAAATTACTCTTATAATAAATACTTTATTTCAACACGGTAAAACTTGAGTCACCCAAGGGTGTTTTTTATCAAGGCCGTGCAAGGCAGTATACATATAAGTAGTATAAAACTATAAGAGCCAAACAATGTAGTAAAAAATCTCAGATAAGAAATACACTCTCTGAGTAACCAAATGAGCACCAGCGCGCCCAGACCCAACATTCCGACATCAACCATCAAATCAATGCCGAAACACTGAATCCCAAACACGATGGCACGCATCTCAACACCCGGAGCATATGTAGTAGTTAAGTATCAAGAACAAAAGGTTAAGAAACACAATACATAAATACTAAAAAATTATTTTACAGTATATATAAGGTGAGCAAACAGAGTGAAATTGTACACTCCAGATAAAATAAACTGTTTTAATTTGACTAGACTTGGTGCATTTTTAACACTGTCATTAAGATTAAGATTATTCCACAGCATAGCACCACAGTCTTTTCAGTAATTTTGGCTATGTAGCATACCACTGAGATTGGTCTATAATTGTTAGGGCTTTACCTTTATATATGGGAGTAATCTTTGAGTCTTTCCAATCGTTTAGAAACATACCCATTCATTAATGATTTATTTATAATGGAACTTGGTTCTACCAACTGAACCTTAGGCGAGGAGCGGCTGGAACAAGTGACGATGTTAAGGCTGTAGCTAGCGGTGCTCCTGCCTTACCGCTCGGCCATTCGACTCGCCCAAAATCCTGGATTTTCTTTTCCATTCTGTCAGTACATTGTTTTCACCATGTTTTGTTGATTATTAGATGGAATAAATATATTGAAGTTGGGCAGAGGTGGGGTGGGTTACAGGTAGGTAGGGGTAAGGGTATTTGTGGAAACATATGTCGGGGTATGGCAACGCAGCAACATATATATCAGGGTTTTTATTCTACAGAAACATGGTTTTAGACTAGGTATAGAATACTTGCATTTTCAAAGCCAGTATAAGATATTGACTTGGACTGGTGGGGGGGAGGGGTGGGAGATTGGTACATGCACAGAGGGGAGCATAGGAAAAAGAATTTTTACGTTTAAGTTATTTTTAAGTTCTTTTTCAGGATGTACTAGAATTTTAATGTGTAGGGACATGACTGGGGGATTAAGGTGAAGCGGAGCAATGAGGAGGAAAAAGTATAACTTGATGTCTGGCAACACTACTACCAACGTACATTTTTTGGTTCCTGTACTGTCATAATATTTTACTTTAAAGAAGTGTGGTCAATGCATTAAGATAGAAATAGGGATGAGAGAGGTTAACTTGTAGGGGTATTACATCACCTTCACAACCTGATATCAGGTAGGATTTAGGTTTTTTGTGATGTACATCGATTGTAGGCTATTTTGTTGGGGAAAAAATTGGTCCATGCGCTTCAATATGTGAATTTTATCTACGCTGTCATAATATATAGGAAGTGTTGCCAATGTGGCTAGGTGGTGGGGGAAATTTTTAGGGGGTGTTACATCACCTTCCCAACCTCATATTGGGTAGGATTTAGGATTTTTGCATACACCAGGAAAAAAGTTGGTCTTCTAGGAGTGCATTTTCTCTACACTGTCATATTTTGGAAGTTTTGTCAATGCATTAAGATAGGAACATGCTTAGGTGGGGGTACTTTGCTGGAGGTCTTACATCACCTTCCCAACTTGATATCATGTAAGATTTAGGATTTTGGGGGTCTGGGGTCAGACCCAACCTCCGGGGTTCATCTTACATACTTTTTGTCTTTGACGGCCTACCCTACATTAGGAGGGGTCAAATCTTATGTTGCTAGCTCTCAGACTATTTAGTTTTACTTTTTAGAATACAGGCCTTAAAGTGGTATAATGGAATAAAAATGTCTTTACCCTCAACAGTTAAACAAGTAGATGTAGAAGAGTACCAATCACTTTCATTACCATCAGTATTTTTAGTAGAACACTTCAACATGTAGAAACTAGCATGTGCGAGTTCAACATTAAAAATCTTCAGAATTAACTGTTGATCCTCCTTTAAAGCACTATAATGTAAGTTAAAGCGATCATTCGACTGAGCAACGGCTTTCCATTTGTTCTTAATATTTTTGTAAAAGATAAATGATTCAATTTCCAGAGGTTTTAACAAATTCCAACGCAGTTCAACATCTTCACCTTTTATGGCACCACTATTTTTTTTTACAGACATCAATAAATGACCTGTGTAATAAAAAAAAGGTAGTAATAATTTCTTTAAAAAATCATGATAATAATGTTATTTACTAAAAGATAGGATACCTAGCATTCTTGTACCAGATCCGCTGTGGTTCAGCTCAAAGATCCGGACCCACAGTAGGCCTCGGGATATCCAATCCAAACTTCCTCTGTATCAATGCTACAGTGAAAGAAATACCTACACAGACAATGATGTATCTGACCTACTGATATTAATTTGAAACCTCACAAAAACAAATAAAAAATATATTAAGTGGTGCTAGTGCCAAAATACCAGTTGTAATATTCATTATTAACTTGGAATAGACTTTTTTTATTAGTATCGTATTAGTACCTACATAAATTTTGAATATGGTACCTTGTTTTATTACACTCTTATGGTGCAGGAGTTGGCTTTATGCAAATCAATATTAATTCTCCCTCCAATTAAATACCATTTTTTAGAACAGGAATTTCATGGTCTTTAGGAGGTTTCGTCTATAATTAGAAAAATAATAAATAATAAACTAATGAAAATACAGGATACGTTTATCCATGATGCAGAAAAGCGGTCTTTTACTGAAGGTCTATCTTGAAAGGAGTATTTATTAAGAGCGAGACCAATATTGTTATTGTAAGCTCTTTCAAAATACAAGTACTGTACCGTTAACCTTTAGTGATCCAGTACAAACAAATGCAAACTTTCTTCCATTGACTTCCACCTCACAACTGTATTCTCCAGCATGTTCAGTTGTGATATTCTCCAAAGTCAAAAAAGCCCGAGATTTTTCTAAATCCAAACCTGCTGCATAGCCTTGTTTTGTAAATTTATTTTTTAGATCAGCGAGCAAACTTCCTGCTTTTTTAGATTTGCCCTTGTACCATTTGATATCTGATATATCTTTCAGAGAATCTTCTATGACTTCAGTAAAGTATAAATACAACCTGAAGGTGCTAATGCCCTCATTGGTTGTTTTATCTGGAATTTCCAATGAGAATGGAGCTGAAAAAAAAAAAACGATAATTGATTCACTGGATTATTTTATTATAATGTTTAATATTAAGTTTATGCAATTTAGATATGTGAAATCGTATGATTTTGATCATCAAAATCAATTGCATTTAATCTTCATTTCCATCATTATAATTAAACCATACATAACCAAAGTGTTATGGTTTCATCGGGATCCAATTAATAAAATGTGAGACAATATATCACTGTAACTTGTTTCCTTTGTTTCCAGTCAACAATTCAATCGAGAGTTACAAATATGTGAGCTGAGCTCTTACGTGTGTTCTCCCTCGTGTGTGTTAGCTCTCTACTCTACTACTACTACTACTTTTCCACCCCTGCTTGTCTAATACACGCACAATTAGCCTATTACGCGTGTAAACAACGTACCTGGATATCTAGTGTTGTTTTCAATAACATAAATACATGACATCCTCCTTATAAATGTGATTTTGCTTGCAAAATCAGAATTTCAAAGAACTCGAAGTTAACTACAGGTACACAGCAGGAAATCTAGAAAATCGCGAATAAACTATTGCAAATACTGCACAAGAGAGCAACGACTGAACATGATGCAATACAGCCAATAGCTAATAAATGACTATTAATACAGACTACAGGTATCAGCAAGAAAATATAATTTAATTTAATGGGGAACCCAAAGATACAAGTGTGGATAGAATTATTTCATCATAAAAACGTACTGAACCTTGTATTATTAAGTCAAAATTTTGCAAAGATTTCATCTCACATAATGAGGAGATGAAATTTCAAAATTCACACCGTGAGCATGGTGCGATTTCTAAGATTGTATCACCTCATCACCAGTATGGTTTTAGGAAAAAATTCAGCACTAAACTCTCCTTAATAATTTAGTTAATGATCTTCAAATTTATTTAGAAAATTTACTTATTAATATTTCTGTTTGAAAATGCTCAAAATGGCCTAAAATCTGCTCTAATTAGTTTTATAAAAAGAGTAATTTTGAGCATTTTAAAAGATTTACGCATGCGTAAGCGCACGTCTTGACGCCTGAGCGCACGGTAATGGCACAAAAAGTTGACTCCTGGTATGAATACAGTGTCAGGAACCCAAAATATGTAACAAAACGTAATTTCCAGCTTCAGTACATGCTCTGCGCGTGGAAATGAGCGTACAGCGCGTAAATTATGAAAGATTTGGAATACTGAAAATGACCTGAAACATGCTTTAAATTATCTGAAAAGTGATAGAGAATTTTCAAATTTTATCGCACAAGTACATGCATGTCACAGCGTCCACGTGGACGGTAATGGCACAAGAAACTGAACCTTGTCAAATGCAGTGGCGGAGGGTAGGGTAAATTGCAAGGTATGCTAGGTATTAGCATATCTAGGAAAAAATACTCACCCATCCATTAGTCGTCACACCCACACCCCAACCAACAAATCATGCTCAAGTAGGTAAAAGTCACCTAAAATCACCTTATTTTGTGAGTTAGCCCCCCACCCCAACCACCTAATCACCGATCCCCCACTTTCCCACCCTATAAGCTCCCTTCCATTGGCTGATATTGAAAACAAGCCATGTGGAAATTTTAAGCAGCTGAGTGTAAGATGCAATAGACCCGACTGTGACTTATCCTTGATACCAAAGTAGGCCAAACATTGAAAAACTTTGGTATTCCAATGAACTGCAGCAAAATTAAGGTTTATATAGAAGATTCTGACTAAAAAATACTAAATAAAACGGAGAAACTGTACTACTATATTGTTTTTTTAAAAATTTGTTTTAGCCAGGGTATGCACTGCATACCTAGCTTGCCTTGACAATCCGCCACTGGTCAAGTATAATTTAAAAACGCCTGTTGGTTGGTAATGCCACATGAATTTTCCTTTCATATGAACAATATATCAGTGTCGAAATACAGTCTGCCAGCCTCTGTCGTTGATTTTTCACATATTTGAAAAAAGACAGATGAGAGGGATCCAAAAATCCTTCATTTTGACCATGATGGTGTCATCAGAATGAAAAATTAAGGGACATTTCCGAAAGAGAATTGTCTCGGATACACTGTAACCTCACAGGTGTATGTCGACACAAATGCGCGCAAAGATCCCTATGTGTGACCTGAAGTTTATGCTCACTGAATATGATTGAAAAATGACAATTGGTTAGGATAATATGATCGATAAGGTAAAAACGCATGACTGGGCACATTGAAAAGCTTAGTGTGACTATTCCAGGCCAACTAAATGTTCACTGAAGCTCCCATGTGTGTAGCTCATGCCAATTTTGAGATACGTGCACACAAAAATGGGGAGAAATAAAGGAGAATAAAAAGAAGATGATCTCTGACAATAACAAGAGGTGATCTGCTTCTGAAGCGGATCAAAGTGTCTATACCTTGGTTGACAACAAGTATCTTTTTGGCCACAACCTGTCTTCCAACACTTAGCTTAACAATGCACTGATACTCCCCAGCATCTGCTAATGTAACCTCCCTGATCTTCAGCGAGCTGTTCCCCTTTTCAAAATCGTTAATTGTTTCAAATCGTGAAACTACAGAGATATTGGTTGGTGTTCCATCCTTATGAAGTTTCTTCCAAATGCAATCTAAAATACACTCATCTACTGGTCCATATTTGCATTCCATCGCAAATTCACCACCACATTCTAGTTCTTCATTTACCTGTACAATATCAATCCCTTTTTAAAAAAAAAGGCAGACATTAGAGAACAGACACACTACATATAATTGCAATATATTGTAAGTACGGGAAAGACATTTGTTGTAAACAGGAAAGAATGCATACCTTAGACTATCACTACTTTACTAATATGTCTGATTATGCACTACACTAACATCTATCAATTACGAACGTCCCAATTACAAACTCTCAATTTTACAAACTTCATTATGAACAACTTGTTATTTTACATTGTAGTGTATTTAAATGGCTGTTACATACATTTTTTCTAACTGCAAGATTGATAAAAACTTCTTTTAAAGCAACAGTATATAAATGGTTTTCACCCAAGATATATTCCATTTAGAGCTGTACATGCTTGTTCAGGCAGCTACTACACATCAGTATAGGGAATCTTACTTTTTGTTCATTGGGGGTGCTATTACAATAGATAAAACTAGTGCGGTAATCTAATCGTGATCGTTATGAAGAGAATAATAACGTTTCATTCGGAAATCATTTAAAATGAATACATCACATACTGTAAGTCAGGTAAATTTGGCTTCTGTACACTATTATTTTTTTGTCCAAGTAACATTTCCTGACAAAGGAAAATACAGCATTAGGCCTGGCATACCCTTACTGAGATGCTATGAAAATTTGAACTCTTTGAATTACAGATTTTCTCATTCACGAACTCTGAGTAGTTTGGATAGAGGGGTATGTAATCGGGAAATGTTACTGTATTAACATTATTGAAATACTTAAACTAATGATAATGAATAACATAACATGAGATAACTTACAATGAACACATAATTTGTTCTCATGTGGATATGATTTTCCACATCTCACAATAGTGCACTTGTAGTTGCCTCCATTTGATCTCATAGGGTTTGAAATTGTCAGACTGACTGTTCCTCTACCATCAGCATCCACAGTAAATGGATCTTTAGGGTCAAGCAACATGCATCACATTATCATTGTTTTTATACAATACATAAACAAGTAAAATGTGCTTTGTAGTTTTACTTTATACATGATATCTATAAAGCACATACTACTAAACTAGAAATTGCAAATTGCAAGTGAAGTGCTGCGAAGTACAACTGCATATAAATGTTGTTCGAACAAAATTATTTATGCGAGTCAAGTAAAAATAATGAATAATAAAAATATAACAAATAATATGAGACACGACCCATTGTCTTTATTAGAACACTTCTCATTGGGTAACAAAGTCGTAATTTTTCATTTTTGTCAAAAAGTGTCTATACTTGTGTCAAAAGTGTCACTTGTTTTTTGACAAACAATGACCTTTCAGAGGTCAAATTGCTGTCAAGAATATGAATTGGCTGCTTCGCAGCAATAAATAATGCAATGTAGAATATTAGGCCTATTACATGTGATCGATTCCTAATGATAAATTATAGAACCAATTCCATCTAAACAGTTTATATGAAATACACATTTAAAACTATACAGTATTAATAGTAAAGAATATTAATTAAAATAAGGTAAACATGTTCTTACTGGTAGCTTTAGGACTGTCTCTGAAAATAAACAAGAAAATACACATAATTATATTTTTTTAACTTAATTGCTGTACTGGACCTCAGGTTATAATATACTGTACATTACAAATATATCAAAAATAATATTACTGTACTTTTATTAGTTTCTACTTTATTCTGTGGGTGAAGTAACACAAGGATTTCTACATCTAGCAAAACAAGAAAAAAAATATTGTAGCACCTATAATTTGTATTTCATTTATTGATTTTCAAATATGTATTTTTGTCTGAATCATCCCTAAACATCCCTTTTGTAGGAAAAGTAAAAAAAAAAAATAAAAATCTTGCCTTACTCAGCAGTTTGACTAAATAATAATAATAACTAGACTTACTATGTCTGTTTAAACAACAGAACATAGGGCTTTTCCCCATTGCTTTAATGAGAAATGAAGCTGAAATAGCAACAAAAAGAAAAGTTGTTAAAAGGTATAAAGTAAAAAAAAAACACGGAAAACCAATATAATTTAATGAAGTGGAAAAAAAAAAAATTGAAAACAATGTTTTTTATTTTTTTTTTATTTTATTCAATTTCCAGGTAACATACAAAAATACAAACAAACAGTGGAGCACCCCGTGGATTGCCGAAAGTACATAAGTACTATCAGGCGGCTCTCCAATGCAACACCATTACACAAACATTAAAATTTAAAAATTAAAGCTGCCTAATAAATAATCGAAGTGC